AATTAAATTACGTCAAGTTGCTTATATTTTTGCGCGCAAATAAAATAGGTAGTACAGATCGATGTCTGCCGCTACATGCATATGCTCATTTGCTCTTTGCGTGACCTTTTAGATAGTGCATAACGGTCTCAGCGATGCATGCGCCAATTAAAACATTTTGTTTACTTGGGAGGTGCTTGGGAGGTGCTCTTGGAGGGAAACCATTTTAATCTTYAACCAAGGTGATCATCTGCCATAAAACTAAAGGAATTCAAKGGTGAAGGAAAGAGACAGACAGAGTGAAATGACTGATAAGAAGAAAATAGTAGAATGCTGCAACTAAGTCCGCGATTATGGCCAGCGGTTCATGTCATGCGCATTTCAGTCTSGTCAGGTCAAAAGTTCTCGATGAAATTAAAAAGAAAAACAAGTTGACTTTTACTATTTATTCGTCTTGAAATGAGGTAAAACGCAGGAATTACTGTCGAAATGGAGCCTTCACAGGTATGTAAACTTTAAAATACAAATGTATGAACGCTTTCTATATATCTTATAGATAAGTTAGTACATTCTAGCAGTGACTTTGATCGGCCGGCCGGCATTTTGAAAGACTTGATTACACGGAATCAAACTTGTTCAAAAAATCCTAACTTAATTGTGATCTTTTATCTCTTGATCTTTTGAATCTTTACGAAATCTACTGAAATACATATTGAAATCAGGGATAACTTTTCGCAGCTTTCAGCTTTCAAGCACAAAGCGAAACAGTTTTAGTTTTCTAAGATTCGATCGTTTTYATGATCACACCTCGGAAGTTTTTGCTATTTAACATTTTTTTGAAACCTTTTGATTAAATTATCAGTCTTCTTTAATGTTGGTGTGGTAGGTTTGTAGTGGACATACATTAAGCTCTTGAATGATAATCTTTTCCTATAGATATCTGTCATTAAAGYTCATGTCCTAAAACTGATTAAATGGATGTGTTCTATCATGCCAACAGGATTATTTCAATGTTTGCAAATTATGTTTGTATACCATATAGAAAATATCTACATATTTGGTGAGCAACTTTATGTTAGTATAATGCATTTAACAKAGTTCGTGGTATYCTCCTTGAAATCCTTGAAAAAACCTGGAATTGAAAACTCCTTTTCAAGGTGCTTGGAAAGCCCTTGAAAATGGGGAAAATCGCTAAAACTCCTGGAAAAATCCTTGAATCGCATGAAATTGACATTATTGCTTTTTAGCTTTTGGATTGAAGTGTGGCTAATTTTGAAAATCATCACACAAGAAATGTTCACAAGAAAAAAAAAATATTAAAAATAGTCCATGAAAATTGCAGTTTTGTACTTAAAAAGTACTTGAAAACATCCTGGGATTTTACAGTGAAAATGTAGTACGAAACCTGATTAATCACAGTGAGCCCTCCATGCATGATGCTTTTGTATTTGAAGGGCGATTCTAAAGCTACTCCACCACAATCCCCAACATCACAAGAACCAAAATCCCCCACAACACAAGCACCAGCAGCTACTTCTGGAACACCAGGAAAGAAACGACGGCATGACTTCAAATTTGGAAAAATATTAGGAGAAGGATCATATTCTACTGTGAGTTTGTAGTGATRTTGTGTTTTGTACTCTGTGACATTGTGTTTGGGWTTCTGGGTGACCTTTTATTTAATGTGTACAATAACATGTAAGTCAATAAACCAATTGCACCATACCATATTTTCCTTCAACTAAGTTATGTGTTTCAGGTATTTGTTGCTCAAGAAATTGCAACAGGAAAGGAATTTGCAAGTAAGTCTGTAAATAAACACTCTTTAGTCCAAATTCTATTMACATTCCATCTCAGAAATTCAAAAATATTTTTACTGCTTTCTTGGCACACAAAGTCTTTGAAATGTGAAAGCAATGCCTTGTAATTTTGTAGTCATTGGCCTTCTTCAAAGTCTTGAAACCARAAAAAGAAAGCTGAAACACCTCTAATGAAATCCCTGCTCACATCCCTGTTTTAATATAAGGTCACCATCTCAAATTCATTTCTTAACCACATCTTAAAAGCTGCACATGTAAATGAGTAAAGCACCTTTTTTGAATGTTGCAATATTGAGATAGTAAGAAAATGATACGGTTGTATATATTATATCTAGTATATTTTTGTTTCCTTAAGATTTCCTTAAGTGTAATGCTAGCATGAAATCTCCCTAATTTCCAAACTTCCAGTAGTTCAAATAAACATTTCTATATTAATTTACAGTTAAAGTCCTTGAAAAACGACACATGATCCGAGAGAAAAAGGTSCCTCAAGTACAACGAGAGAAAGAGGTGTTAAGCAGACTGAATCATCCATTCTTTGTGAAGCTGTATTTCACTTTTCAAGACAAAGAAAATCTTTGTATCCTTTGAAACGTAGTTTGAGTGTTCAAAATCTTGATATTTGTGTATATTGTTTAAAAGCTGTCTTCTTCAAATGTTATTGGATTCTTATCCAATTTTTCAAGATTTTGGACTCAGCTATGCAAAAAGAGGAGAGTTACTTCCTTATATTAACAAAGTAAGTTACTGCAATTGCCATTGAATATACTAACTCCAATCATGGTTTAATTTCAACAAGCAACAAGGCTGTGAAACAGTGGCACAAGGGCTATGAACTTGCAATGAACAAACAGCTGCTCTGATTTACAGTAACTGTAACCAAGTCTTTGCATCAAAGCAAGACAGAAGTTGGGCCTTCAGTGAGAGATACMTTTTGTTCACACCTAAGACAATACTCCAGTTTCAAGATCTTATTTGTGCAGTCTAATTATCTCTTTTATTTGGCAGAGATCCTATTGTAATGCAAACACTCTGTGTACAAAGAAGACAAATAAAAATTGATGCTTGATTGAAGCTAAGCGTGCGCAAAAGAGAATTCGAAACTGGAGTACTGTATTATATACCTGTAGGTATCTATCATTGCAAGYTCAACTTCTGTCTTGCTTTGATACAAAGGCTCGGCTACCTTTTGAGATGGAGCTTGGAACTACGGAGTGGAAATGGAGCATTACCAACTGTTACTCAAAAACATCCCAAAATTGACATACTTGACGTGCAGTTTTGAAAACACTATGTTATGCGTGGTTGTATGAGTACCATCTAACAGGGCCTCCTTTTTTCTACTTTCAATCAAAACTCTTTTCAACACTACTCCCTTAAAAAGAAACATCCAGTACTCAGGTTTTGAAGATATGATTTTTGATATTGTATCTAGCTTGGCTCCTTTGATGAAAGTGCYACACAGTTTTACTCAGCGGAAATAATAAGTGCTTTGGAACATTTACATGGACTGGGCATTATACACAGGTATAATTGAATAGATAAATTATATTTTAGTATAATTTAATTTTATTAATGATCACCTACGTTAAGCTGAACTTTCTCTATAGACTCTTTTCAGTTTGTATGACTACTGTTCCATGGGAGGAACAAAACTGTTGATTCTTGTTGCCCATGAAAGCAATTTTTTTTGTTTTATTCCTTGGTAAAGTTGCTGCGCCATCACTGTAATTGTGCTATATTACAGTGTGTGATTTCAGTAATTATTCCTACCAGTTCTTACTTATCATGAATGATAGTCATTCTCCATATCACAACAAACCTGCAGTAACTATTAGACCTTATGTAGGTATCAACCATTTTATTTATGATGGTGAAAATGTGTATCTTTTCAGAGACTTGAAACCAGAGAACATTCTATTAGATGAAAATATGCATATTCAAATAACAGATTTTGGTACAGCAAAGATATTAGAAGGGGATAATAACAAAGGTGAAATAAAACTGGAAAATTCTTCCATTATTGAATCGTGATAATGAAGGATGAAAACAATAGAGAGCCAGGAGTAGGGATAGATAAAACAAATAAACAGGATAGAGKGAGAACCCATTGAATGGTGAGGAAGATTGCACTGAAGTATGGACCCAGAAGAGGGAGAACTTATTTATAGAGAGATACCATATGATTGACCCTATATTCTATTGTTACTTTGTACAGGACGAAACTCCTTTGTGGGCACAGCACAGTATGTATCACCTGAACTCCTGAATGACAAAAGGGCYTGTAAAAGGTACTTGAATGACATCTTATAGTAAAAAAAATACAGTAAATAGTGAGAAATCTGAAAGAGATTAGATTTTTCTAGGAAATGGAAAATTTTAAATGTATAGACTAGAGAGCTAGTGCTCTTTACTTTCCGAATAATCATATAGAGCATAATTATAATAGTATAGAGTGGAAAAATCCAAATTAACCAATAATAGTATAGGATGGAATAATAGTATAAAGTGGAAAAAACAAAATTTCAACCTTTTTGCAAAATTGCCGACTTGTCCCCAGTCTCCGTCGCGATCAAATCTGCCTTAGTTTGCTGTCCGCTTGTTGTTGTTTTTTCATTTGGAGACAAAATGTTCATATTTTGGGCAACTTTTTCATAACTTTTTTTCATATTTTGTTAATAAACTAACAGAGAAAAAAATCCCTGAAAATTCATAAACGTACAGTCCTGAATAAGGCTGTATAGAGTGGAATATTTTGCCAGAATAAATAAGCGTACATGTATGATTATTCAGAACTTAAGAGTAGATTCCATATGGCTTTGTGTCAACAAAGATAGAAAACAAAAGGTACAATTACAAAATCTGAGCTGATATTGATGCAGTATAAAAGACTGAATTGAGAAATGTGCAAGGGTGTAGTCTTTTATTGTAATGGCATGAAAATGCCGCAGTTTTTTATACACTCATTTGAAATTGGCTGTATAACTAACATTCATAGAAGATGAGGAATTGCAAAAAGCTGTCATTGATATCAACTGTACTTTGATTTTAGCTCTGATATTTGGGCTCTTGGATGTATAATTTATCAACTTTTGTCAGGATTACCACCATTTAGAGCAGGGTAAGTACAGCATATTGTATACAGTAGTTTAGTCTCCACATGAATGTATTATATTTGTTGTAGAAAACCCTAAGAATACAGTTTATAAGGAAAAACTATTAAAAATGATTTTATTTTATTTCAGAAATGAATACCAAATATTCCAGAAGATTAACAAATTAGAATATGAGTTTCCCAGTGGATTTCCCAGTTCACCAAAAGATTTAGTAGAGAAAATTCTGGTAAACAAAAATTGAACTTTATTTGATGTTATGAAGACTTTTAGGAGCTTGAACTTCAGCTCACAGTTTTAAGTATAGTTTAAAACACGAGAGTGTTTTATCAGGTATAAAAATTTGGGCCGAAGGCGATCTCGAGTGTTTTAAACGGCTTAAAAAACTCCAACCCTAATTTGAAACTCAAATCCGTTAAAATTCTTGGAGAAATTGCCGTACAAATATGTTCAGAGATAAATGGGGCAAACTGATCATGCGCRAATCACTTTACAAAGCACTCTTGTCATCCCACATTGAATACGCATAAAGTATAATAGAACCGCTCTTGGCTGTTCACTGAAATCGGTTGACATCCTGCATTGGTCAATGATCAGGTTTCAAACCTGAGACCTTTGCTAGGGTCATGGACCTTTATATCTGATAAAGGTCACCACCCTTATTAGTATTCTTTATATAAAGAATACTAATAAGGAGTGTTTTATTAGATATAAAGGTCCATGCATGTGACCAAATAGGCTCATTCTATTGGCCTAGTAGCTCATTAATTATGTATGAGTTTTTTAAACTATACATAAAGGTTTTCCGCTCATTTTTTTATATTACATAAAAAGCATACAGCTGTATTTTTGTATTGTTTTGTTGTTCAGATTCTAGATCCTACAAAAAGATTAGGGAGTGAGGAGTGTGGAGGATTTGAAGACCTGAAAGGACATTCATTTTATAAAGGTGAAACAATTATATTCTGTAATGATATCAAAACTCTTTGGATATCCTCATCCTCCCTATAGTGGGAAATAGGGTAGAATATCGAATGGACAGTGGAAACCCGGCCAACGGTCACCCGCTTGATACGAACACTCTGTAATAACGGCCAAATATTTAGGTCCTGCAGGAWTAAAYCCCCATACAYTTCTACACGGTTAATGCGGCYACCCCATTAATAGGGGTATTTTGTCCCTTCGGTGTCCGGAATAACGAGGTTTCGCAGTGTTTGTAAAATATGATAATGAAATAAAGAAGAATATGGAGTTGATTATTGAGTTTCTGACTTTTTGTTAATTGTTTTGAAGGTGTAAATTGGGAAGAACTACCGAACACTAACCCGCCAGAATTGTTGCCATATCTTCCTGCAACAAGCAGCGACGGGGAAGAACATAGAAGCAAATACAGGGTAAGCAAATCATTCAAATGAAATGGTATCTTTTTCATTATGTGTTTTGTTTTTTGTTTTTTTCATTCATTCATTTATTCCGAATGCATGACACTGATTCATCTATTACTAACATCCATTTATCCATCCATTTGTTTTGTWTTTCATTTGATTGCTTGATAGTGGTTAAGGCATTGGACTTCGGTTATACTGGCCTGGGCTCGATTCCCGGACCTGGGCGATCACGTTGTATGATTGGTCAATGTGTTTTACTCAGTGACCGCTCAACCTAGGTGTAGAAACGGGTTCCGAATTGATGCGGTGAAGTAGTGATAGGTGTAGAATCCATCGCTGCCATTGTGGCAGAATGCTGATGAAAGAGAAGTCATTCTTTTCGACCGCGTGCGACTACGGTCGACAACTTGACTTCAAGTCCGAGAAATACGAGATGCAAAACCGATCAMCTTAATGCACGACATTGTTGCTTGTCAAGTTTGGAGGCGATGTTCCTCGTTTTTCACATTCACTAACCAGCGGCAACTTGTCACGCAACAAACTGCGACAGGCCATGAAAAACGAGAAACGCAGGGCAGTAACATTGCGTGCAATTTAANTCTAAGGGACAACGAAAAGTGACGAGTTAGCCGTATAAACTGGGTTGAAAAGTATGGGAGTTTAGTTCGCTGGGACCTAAAAACTCGGTCGTTATGACGAGGTGTCCGTATTAAGCGGGTGGCCGTAAGGCTGGGTTCTACTGTATTTTGATTTTATAACATATATTCATTGTATTTTGTAGGCCGATGTGAGTGATAATGGCCTGAATGACTTCGATGATTCACTACTAGCTAGGTTCGGCCTATCAGACGAGTACAAAGCTGTAGATAAGCCTACACAAAAGAACTACTTACGTCTAACAAAAATAGAAGTTGAAGAACGTCTCAAGAAGCAAATGGACGAATCACCATGGTGAGTGAAAAAATGAAAAATGGCTTGAATAAATAAATATCACTGTCACTTTCGATATATCAKTTGACGAAGYATGCACAAAAGAATTGAAGGCGAGGCTCTCAGGGGAAACAATAGATAAAATTCYTGAGCCTCGTTCACATTTCTTTTGTACACGCTYAGTCAACCGATATATCGAAATCGGAATATTTCATTGGAATTAGGTTAATGCCCAGCCAACTACTTAGCGTGAATAGACTTCTGAACCTTTTACGTCACTACTTGATTTTCAATGCATTGTGAGATCAGTTTCAAGAGAAAAGAAAAGAAATCCGCCATGTTCTGTCCAAAACATATCCTACAATGCATTGCGTATACGGTACATGACGTAAAAGCTTCAGAGGTCTAATAGACCAACAATTTCTTTATTACAAAATGGCGTCGCTACACTTTTTCTTATTCTTTGTTCACGAGGAAAAGAGTCTTCACCTCATACAAAGCACAATGACCAGTTRTATATGGATTTATTAAAATGTTTTTATTTTTGTCGCCATTCTTTGACTGATTTAAAATTTATGGTGCTTTTTTTAGGCATCAATTTATAGAAAATAACTTGATTATCAAAACTGGGATCTTGGATAAACGAAAGGTAAGGRAAGCAAGAAAAATGGCTCGGAGAAATTCAGGTCAATTGAGTGTGAGTCAATGAAACGATGAAATGCGAAAAAAAGGGAGGAAAGGAGARAAGGGAGGAACATTTTTGGACGAGAATCGTTGATAAAAAGAAACAAAATAAGCATAAAGGTAAACAGGGAAGAAAAGGATAGGAGAAAGGGTCAGGAGAAGTCAAAGAATGAAAAAATTGCAGAAGGGAATAAAGAGAGCACGTAAAAATGAAAGAAGAAGAAATTAAGGGAAAAAATAAAGAAGGAAAAATGAATAGGAATGCGGACAGAAAAATATCTTTACAATCTACCATCTCTTCAGTTACCAGGCATTTAAACGAARGAATGAATCATTTCTAACCGCAGACAATCTTTACAGGGTCTCTTTGCGAAGCGGCGGCAGATGATTTTGACTGAGGGACCTCACTTATATTACGTCGATACTGCAGCTATGGTCTTAAAGGGGCAAATACCTTGGTGAGTGTGCTGCTGTATTTGGTAGTATTATCGCTCGTGATTTATCTAAGAATTCCCCACTCATATACGAAGACCGCAGTACTAAAATGAAAGAAGCGACGAAGGGGTGCTTAGTTCAAGACTAATCACTAACAATTTAGTTTATTTTGCACAGGACTAAAGAACTGCGAGCTGAAGCCAAGAGTTTCAAAGTATTCTTCGTGCACACGGTAGGACATAAAGATATTTATTATTTATAAGTACTGATGTCGACTGCAAWGTTGGAAATGTTGACGTCAGAGCTGAGGGCATTTTTCTCAGAAAAATTGGCAACTTAGAACATTTCTAATGCCTAGTATCGGTCCAATCGTCACACTAAAATGCGTTTTTTGTTGTTCTAGTTTTCTCAAACGAATTAACAACACGCATTCTGGGGTGATTGTGATGATTAGTATTCTCCTACACAGCCTCCTCTCTTCTTGGGATTCCTGTGGGGACAAAAGAGGAGGCTGTGAAGGAAACTAGATGGTGTTTACGTATGGAGAAAGAACAATAGGATGAAATCATTATTGATCATGAATATGATTTGAATATGAAAACTAGAAAGACAGCCTCCCACAACTTGCATCTGTTTCAGACATTTCTATAGCATAAGTCAATTATATTCAGCCAGATAAAAGAATTACACGCAAGTTTAACTAGTCTTTATAGTATTTTAATCAATTCTTTTTTGTAATTGTTTTCTTAAATCTCTATATATTTTTAATTTTAATATGACAATGTTCTTGCAATAAGATAGAAGTTTAAAATCGATTCATTTACTAATTCTATTGTGTTTCACCTATAGCCAATCAAAACATATTACCTAGAAGACCACAAAGGCTTTGCCGTCGAATGGGTCGACAAAATCAAAGACGTCCATCAATATTACTTCGGCTTATCTTCCATATAAGGCACTACCATAAAAGCCATTTTTATTCAGATATCTGCTGATCTTAGACGCTTTCTTAATTAACACTGTTATATATCAAAGCCTCTTCCGTAAGTAACTGTACTTTACGGAACAGAGTGATCAAACATCTGCGCAATGTACGTGCTTCACCTGAGGTTTAGAGATTTGAAGATATACAAAAACATGAATGACACTAAAAGGCACAGCTTCGTACTTCGTACTGTTTTAGATAGAGCGGATTTCGTATGAGTGGGACATCGTTCCGCACGGTTACCGCACAGTTACCGGACCTGGCCTGCACAATTTTGGTGAACCAATGGGGCACTAGAATTTGGTTACAGTACGATTACGGTCACAGTACAGTACCGTCCGTTTCCCACTCATACGAAATTCGCTCTATAATTGCCAACAAACTAACTACTAACTAGCTAATTAGACCCGTAGAGTCATTAAACCCGTGAAATAGTAGTACACTAATACAAGCTCTACTTGCATTGTTCTTTTGTGTCTATTTGACTATGACACTTCAATAGTCATTTTTTRAGTGAAGTCATTTAACCTGCGAAACAAATCTTGACTAGTATAAAAGTGCRATAGTGAATCAGACAGACTGAAAAAAAAACAATGCCAAWTAGGGCGAACTAAGGTGTAATAGTGCAATAACTATTTCACGKTTTTTTGGCGTCACTCTAATGACTAAATACATTAGTGATGTCTAAATATTTAAGCTTTATCGCTAGTATTCTCTGTACTGTCCCGAAGTTTTCGAAAAGAAACTGAAGAAAACTRTTTAAAGCTTGAGGTTTACAAATAGTTGAAAAGGTATAAACAATAGATCGAAAATGGGTTAAAACGCTTCTAAACAAATGAGAATTAGCTGATATACTCAGCCAATTTCTTATAAATTGAGTTCAAAGTAGTTACGAATGAAACCCGTGTAAAATCAATCTCGTACCCAGAGCCGCCGTTCCTCTACCAAGAGGAACGGCGGCTCTGGGTACGAGATTGGTGTAAAATCCCAGTTGACACGCGCATGCGCCGATGTTTGACCGCGGTGTTTATCGTACAGGACAAATCTCTTTGAAAGTTAGAGTATCGGCTGCGTAGGAGGCTAGATATAACGATTGCTCATCAYTTACGTGTCCCCTACCAGGAGGAAAATAAGCACTATGCAAAGAGACATTTCCATAGACGATTAACGAATAGTAGGTACTGATATTTAACAACCTCGTTCCCACATCCTTAAGGGTCATCCGCCCGAACCAACGGAAAGGGATCTAGGAACGAAGTTGACATTTTTCAGTAACCGTTTAAGTGCCATGCATGGACAGTTGTTCCCTATACCAAACCATAAGATGTAAATGGATCATTAAGAACCAATGTATATCATAAATAACTTTAGTTTAGAATGTAGTATTAAAACCAYGTGGGATGGTACAGAATACATGCCAGAGCATGCGTAATAGAACTTTACACACTTGCACGTGCTCTTGATTTAAAAAAAGTAAGTTTGCGTAAAACTCTCGCATGCAATCAGCGCGTCCGTCGTACACATAATTTACGTTGTTATGGGAAGGCTGCGTTTACCCGTATCCGTATATTTTCAAAATTGCATATTTTTGATGCGATTTTTTTCTCTTTGAAAAGAAAGCGATAAAATATCCTGATACGTGAAAACGCGGYGTTATATTGATGCGTTTCTGTTGCGTATTGTTTTATACGACTCTGCAAAATCGCAATGTGGAGGAGTCSTAGCAAATTTGAATTAAGTGGTTTTGAATTGTATGAACAGAGATAGAACGAAGAGGACATTTCGGACTTCATGTTTTTCCTTTCTTCCATTCTGTCTTRTCGTTAGTTGTCGTTGATGTTGCTGTTGTCGTTGTTGGTGTAGTCGTTAGTTGTCGTTGGTGTTGCTGTCGTTGTTGCTGTTGTTTTGACTGTGCCCGGATGACTATAGTGTTCTACGTTTTATTTCTCCAAAAACAACGACTGGTCAGTTTATTCTTATCCTTATTCAAGAGGATRTGTCGATATGTGTGATAAGGGAAATCCAGCCTCATACTTTTCACGTGTCATGTTATGCACGCTTTTTTGCTTATTTGTATTCATTCTTTCTTCAAAATTTAAATGGGTGGATTTTTTTAATCCCACTCCATGGTGCGTCCCATAAATAATGTCTTATGGCAGGTGTCCTAAAGGGTCATGGTCCAACATCCTTTTCGAGCTACTTTTGTCTATGTTTGAAAATAGAAATTCATCGATTTTACAAAAACCTTTTTTATTATCCCTTTATGTTATATAAATCGAGATACTGTAAGATTCCAGTGAGAGTTCTGATTTTCCATATGCGAAAAATCTAAAACAGGACCGGTCAACCGTGGAGCTTTAAAAGGGCAGAAAATCTATCGGATGGGACATTTATGTGATTGGGCCTCCTGTGTGATAATCAAAAGTGCGTAGGCTGGGCTCTAGGCCATGTCATGCGCAYTAGGTATCTGAGTTCTGGATCMGACTAAAGCAAAGAATGGGAACTAACAAAATTCGGTAAAAAACTTGGATTTTTACATGCCAATCTAACGATTTTCCCTCGAATCAAAGATCTTTGAACATTTATCTTCACTTGGAAAATGTCAGGAATAGCACTTGGTCGTTTGTCAGAGGAAAGAAAGGCTTGGAGAAAAGACCATCCTTTTGTACGGATCGTTCCATGTGCTTTGAATTTGCTTTCAAAATTTTGCCGCTTTTTGTTTGATAAACTGCTTTGCTGACTGTGTGAATGGGATTTTATTGTTTTACAGGGTTTTGTGGCTAAACCGGTAAAAAACGGCGATGGATCGCTGAATTTAATGAACTGGGAATGCGGTAAGGATTTTGTGAACTTCTTAAAATATTGTAGTTGTGCATTTTCTCAGCTGAAAGCAAAACACTGTATTTCGACATCTTTGATCTATTTGAAGATTATAAAACATCCGCTTTTGATATTTCAAAGCTAGTAAAAATATTACTTAACTTAGCTAATGAAGATTGTTTTGTATTTTGACAGCCGTACCGGGCAAGAAAGGAGTAAGTATACAGAAAACATTTCTTTGTTTGAAGAAAACAAAGTTGTTCACTTTTAATCAACGTGTTATTTCAAATGTGTACATTTGTATTAAGGCAGTTATTGTCTTTAAATGTTTTTCTAACGATATAAACTATTAAATTCTGATGAACAAAATTRTCTAGAGAGAAATAAATCTGAATTTCAAAACATTTAGTTCAGCATCAAATGWGAGTTAAGCTAATTGACTTTGACCTTTTTTCCAAACATAATAGAATGTGTATTTTACAATGATTCTTTATTTTAAACACTGAGTTATTATATATATAGTTATTGTTTGTACTTACAAGACTRAGACAGATAGAAAGGAAAAACTGCTTACCTTGCAGTATTTTAATGCTATGTTGAAAATCTGTGCCACTATATTCATGAATTTGAATGGGGTGAAGGGTTTAGAAAGTCTCGTCATTTTCATCAATGGCTTTGGCAATAACAGACATTCATTTCAAGAAAAATCATAAAAAAGTACAAAAAGAAATCATGCAAATCATGGACACCACTTTTATGACTGATGTCAATCCTTTTAATYACTCTTTTACTGATGTTTGATAACCAAGATTTTTGGCAATAAGCAATGTGCTGTGGGGCGTATCCAGGATTTTCAATGGGGGGCCCTTACATACTAAATTGTCACTATGACGTCATATAACATCAATATGAGGTCATATCAATTTATGGTTTTCACGCTTTTTAGATTTGAAAGGGGGATGGGTCACAGGCAGGAAAACATGAAACATTTCAGSGTGAACCGTTTTTGTGATAAGGTTTTGACATCTTCATTGCAGACTCCTTGGGAAGGTGGTTCGTATAAACTAAGAATGATCTTCAAAGATGATTATCCTTCATCACCACCAAAATGTAAGGAATTGTTTGAATCTTACAATGATTTTCATGCAAAGTACTCCATGAACAATTTGAAATGACTCTTTTTCAATTTGAAGTTTTGTAGTATTTTTCTTCTTCAAGAAGAAAATGATCTTAATGACGGCTACCATTCGAGATGGTGCAGGGAACCTTGAAGAAGACTATGTAATACCATTGTTAGTAATTTGAGTCTGTGATTTTTCTTTTAGGTAAATTTGAACCTCCAATATTCCATCCCAATGTCTACCCATCGGGTACAATCTGTCTGTCTTTATTAGATGAAGAAAAGGACTGGAGACCAGCAGTCACTATTAAACAAGTAAGAATAATATGCATGACGAATATCTTTTGTACTATAGTTACAGGTTGTTGCAGATTATCAATGATAATTAAGTAGAAAGACTGCTCTAGTAGAACAATCATCCATTATATTCATAAAGTAAGATGCAAATTCAAAATAATTAATAGTTAAAGATATTTCTGGCATTATGCACAGGTGTGAACCCATATAATATATGTAGGCCAACCTCCTCATAATTCGGCATAATTTGTTCTTTAGGTTTTAAGCTTGACATCTTTCTTCATAATTTGAATTTTCTCGCATCCTTTTCCCAATATTGTTTTTTTCATGGCTTGATACCAGAATCCCTGTAAAGAGGCAAAACCACTTGTGGTTGTCAGGAAAACATTTGATGTTTTAGTTCTCTGACACTAGTTTTATTGATCTTATATCCGTGCGCTTGATACAATACTGCGCCACAATGCGCTAATCGGGCAGTGGTAAACTGTATTTAGATACTGTATTTAGATATTATTGAAAATGCTGCTTGAACTTGAATTGATCCATACTTGCTTTGCAATTTTAGATACTTTTAGGAATACAAGACTTACTAAATGATCCCAATGTCAAAGATCCAGCTCAAGCAGAAGCTTATACAACTTATTGGTAAGTATTCTTTCAAAAATAAAGTATTAAGGACTACTTTGACTCGCATTTACAGTGACAACCTCCAGAGATTGAAAATGACAAGCAAAGGCAAAGTAGAGGGTTYGTAGATGTACTACTCCTTGAAAAGTCCTGGAATTGAAACCTTGCTTTCAAGGGCACTTGAAAAGCCCATGAAAATGGGAAAATTGCTAAAACTCCTTGAATCTGATGAAATTGACATTTTGCTTGTTACCTGGATTGCATGTGGCTACAGTATGTTTGAAAATCTTGAAAATCGCATTTTTGTGCTTAAAAAGTACTGTAAGTTCTGAATAATCATAAAGAGCATAATAATAGTATAGAGTAGAAAAATCCAAATTAGCCAATAATAGTATAGGGTGGAATAATGGTATATAGTGGAAGAAACAAAATTTCAAGCAAAATCGCTGACTTGTCCCCAGTCTCCATCGCGATCAAATCCGCTGACCAGATTATTTGCGGTCTTAGTTTGCTGTTCGCTCATACAGTTCCGAATAAGGCAGTATAGAGTGGAATATTTTGTCAGAATAATTTGTCAGAATAAATAAGTGTATATATATGATTATTTGGAACCTAAGAGTACTTGAAAAGTCCTGGAATTTTGTAGTGAAAATGTAGCACGAACCCTGAAAGTGGAAGGCAGGACTAATGTCTAAATCAAGGGGAATGATCTGTTTAGCCACCTTTTTCTTTGATAGAGCAAATAAAATATGGAACTTTTATTGTTTTAATATAATGYATGCTGATGGCACATGAGAATTATTGAGCAAATCAAATCAAAGACTYATTTGTCTGCTGCCAGAGCCTTCGATTTTCCTCTGTAAAACTGAGAAGAATCTGGCCACTAGAATGAAAATGAGAGTCCCTGATTTTAACTGTTTTCTATGATTTTCTGTTTGCAGTCAAAATCGAGCAGAATATGAGAAGAGAGTGCGAAGTCAAGCAGCAAAAATGTCACCAACATAATGCATTCCAGCTTGTGGCACTAAGGTTAAATGTACAGTCAGGAATCACCGGTGTCGAGTGCTACATCTTGTATCAGTCCGATACTTAAGGTGGCTCTGATAGTTTTTTCAGTGAATTTGGATTTTGACAAATAAAGGAGTTTTAGTTGACTTCTTGTAAGGATATGTTGCTGGTTTTTTCAATCTTATCCTTAAAATTCAATAAACAAGATTTATGGACATGGTTACAGTATTATATATGTATGACCAGCCCACCATCAATAGAAATCTTGTTGACTTTAAACCAACCTTTTGGCATGGTGCAAAAATTACAATTAAAACCAAGTCTAGTCATATAGTTTTAAATTAAAAACTAACTTAAGGTACATGTACTTGTTCTGGATAAAGTSGGTGTCATTTAACTAAAAGGGCATATCAAAGAATTTAATCTATAAGARTTTATAAAGCATGCAAAAGTTTATGGGATATTATTATTCATAGATGTTGATTGGTATAAATTCTAATTAGCCTATGTTGTCTCTAATAATTGGAGTTTATAAAACTGTCTAGTACAAAAGATATTTTATAAGCAAAGCTCAAATTTTTGAGGAAGCATACTTTACCATTTTTCTTTCAGCTAAAACATCTAATAGTTATTCTAATGAGGCAAATTTAAATGTTTTTGATGATCTGTTCTCAAACTCATTTAATAATTCATGACTTACCTGTTCAATCATTTGATCTCTTTAGGGTCACGTGTATGCATTTGGATACCTTGATCCAACACCACATGCAAATGAGATCCATCTCCTAGGATTTGGATATCCAAGTCCTAGGAGTTTCCTCAGATATCCAAATCCTAGAGCTGCATTCTTTTTTTATACAAAAGATTTCCTTCATCTGACTTTTTCTAACTTTTATATACTATTTTCTCTTTTTCTTCTTACTTTCTTTTCTCTTTCTCCCTAATCTAATTTACCTAACGAATTAACATATTACATTTATTTCCATTTTATTTTTACCTTTTGTGTTGCAGCGCCGGTGACTCGAACCTTTGACCTCTTGCATGAAATCTCATAGACCTACCAACTAAGCTATTTGTGAATTGGTTGGATATTAGGATTTTATTCTAATGGTCATTTATTAATCAATCATTTAGTTTCAAATAATGCATGCTTATCAGCATTTGCGTTAGTAACAAATATTCAGGCATRAATGGACAGTCAACTAACTACAAATACTGTAGAAAGCTAATTTTTTATTGAACATAAATATTTTATTATACTTTAATTATTGTATTAGATTGAAGTTGATTTCACAATTGGTGAAGGTATTTCCTTCCAAACCAACCTCAAAGCACTCTTTCTCTTCAGTTCTCTATTTTCTGACTCAATTCGTTCAGCTGAAGCCAGTCTTATTTACGAAAATTTCACACTATTAATTAAATCATGCAAATTCCCTTGCTTTCTAAACATGCTTCTTATTGCTAATGAGTCATTCATTATTAATTTGTTTGAGAAGCCAGATCAAAAMCTCGTGCTTCGTGTTTCATCAGGGGAATCCAAACACCTCGAAACAGATAAAAGCACTCGGCTCATCAGTTCCTCAGTATTTGGATCCCCTGATGAAACACTCGCACTCGTCTTTGATCTATTACTGGAGAGCTTTCCATTAACTTCACTTCCATCTCATGCAGCAAAAACTGCTGTCCAATTGTCCTTTATTTTTTAAAGTCCAAATTCACCAGAAAACTGTCACGAACCAATACTCAATCCTTATTGTACAGTTGAATACAATATACTGTAAATTCATGTACATTTATCTTGCTATTTCTTGATAGAACATGTAATCAAATTCATGTCATTTGTCATATTGTTTTGTGTCAATACTAATGCTATACCAAGTCATCTGCTTGCCATTGTTTAGGGGAGATTGGTTTCTGTAAACCCGTGAAATGGATATTTACAGGGTTCGTCCTTCTGGAGTTGAAAACTCGTTTGCAAGAGCGCTTAAAAAAGCCCTTAAAAATGGGGAAAATGGCTAAAACTCCTGGAAAACTACTTGAATCTGATAAAATGGACATTTCTTGTTGTTAGCTTTTGGATTGAAATGTATTGAAATGATTGAAAATTGGCACTTGAAATGTCCGCTTATAAAAAGGACTTGAAAAGTCCTTGAATTTTGTAGTGAATATGTAGCACGAGCCCTGTATTTAGAATAGGGAAATCCGTTCAGGGTTTTGCAAGATCTTATCCGACTTGTTTAGTAGCTATTTGTTAAATAAAAGAAAACAATTATACGATTTAAGAAWGAGGAAACAATGAGCATTGTTTTATTCCTCCAATCACAAGAAACCTTACAAACTYGTGAAGGATAACAGAATATGCAAAGTGCATTTTTTGAAGCAAAGCATGCTGGTAGTTGTCGTTCCTCTTTCAWGTCCTCTAAAACAGTCCTGAAATGTTTTTGCTTTTTCTAAACAAACATTGAAGAATATTGCCGTGTCTACAAAGAAAGATAAAAAAAAAATGCTTTTGAGGAGATATTTTAGAGGACTATAACTAACCATCATGCTTTTCTGTACAAACTGGAGTCGCTAAACATTTCCGGTTAGGCCGGCAGGTCGTGTGGACTACGATTGAATGGTGTAATTGCTTCAGTATTCACCAAATTTGAAAAATATAAAGAACAATTTTTCTTGGCGTTTTCTCGACGATTTTCGCTTCAATGCGACCATGATTTATGTCATGAATATTTCAGCCAATCAGAATTCTGGATTTAGATAGATTTAGTTACCGGATAGTGC